TTCAGCCCCAAGCTCTCTGTTTCTGTGCTTCCCCTTGGTGGGTCAGTCACTGGAATGGGTGTAGAATTCACAACCATTCTCTGTTGGGACACCCCTACTCCCACCCCAGCAAAATTGTGGTGGCAGGATCATCGTCATCTTTGAGGAGCTGCTCCTGCCGGTTGCCAGGGTGGCATTGCTGTTATTCTGGTAGCCATTGGGGGCGCAGTTGGAATGGTTCCCCATGGAATGACTTTAGCCCACTCCTCCCTCCGTGGTTCCTGGTTGGTGTCTTATCCCAGGCAGAGAGAAAGACCTTGATGCTGCTGGAGTGAGTGTCATTTAGATGCACTGGGATACCTCCATGGGGCTTGGGGACTGGGAGATGTTGGAAGGGGACCATCAGAGGGGCTGAGCAACCTAGAAAGTGAAGAAGGTGGGGATGAAGTGATCACAGCCACTGGTTTCATAATTCTCTGCCCCTGTGGTGGATTCTGACTTAGTGCTGAAATTGTGGTTGTCTTGGATGTAGGAAAAGTCACTTGGGTTGCATTTTATAGGTGAAACTCTCACATTTTCTAATCCAGCTTTTGATCGGCCACTGTATAAAGCAATTTTGTTAGGTTCATCTTTTGGAAATCTTTGCTTATCCCTTTCTTCTTTTATGTAATTGGATCTTTTTTCTTTTTTCTTTTATTTATTTATTTATTTTTTTTTGCCATTTATCCATTTTTGAGAGAGCACAAGCAGGGTAGGGGCAGAGAGAGAGGGAGACCAGACTGTCATCACAGAGCCCGATGCTGGGCTTGAACTCATGAACCATGACATCATGACCTGAGCCCAAGTCTGACACTCAACAGACTGAGCCACCCAGGCGCCTTGGATCCTTTTTTTGGTTTTCATTTTTATATTTATGTCACAAATATACCATTTTCTTCTGTTAGAGAAAATTTCTTTTTTTTTTTAATGTTTACTTATTTTTGAGAGAGAGAGCGAGAGAGAGAGAGAGAGCAGGGGAGGGGTGGAAAGAGAGGGAGACAATCCGAAGCAGGCTTCAGGCTCTGAGCTGTCAGCACAGAGCCCGACATGGGGCTCAAATTCATGAACCGTGAGATCATTACCTGAGCCCAAGCTGGAGGCTTTACCGACTGAGCCACCCAGGTGCCCCATGTTAGAGAAGATTTCTAAGCAATAAATCTCCTAAAAAAGGATTTGTGACCCCTGTAGGAAAAAAGTCTGCTCCCTTGAATTTTGTACTGTCTTTGAAATTCCATTCACCCTACATTCATAACATTTTCAATCACTTTTCAAAGATCAGATACAGTAATAATGATAGAACAGACAGGTATAGGATATTTTAAAACTGGTCATATGCAATTACTGCAGTTACGTCATTTCCTTTTTTCTTACTCCTAAAAAAAGGTTTGAGAGGGTACCTAAATGCTTTTGTGAATGCAGTGTTTGAAAAAGCATAGGAAACAAGACTAAATTTTAATCACTTAGTGGCTTAACTTTTGGGTTTTAAGATATTTAGTGGTGCCTCTATTGGCCCCTGGCTCCATTCCCTTCCATCTAAAATTGGGACCTCTTGGGAAAGGCTTGCTTGTATTTTGTCAGCTTCCTTGCACTTGACCCCCTGGGGCCGCCTGCCCAGCCTCTTCCCCACTGCTTTCCAAAGCTTCTGTCTCTCCAGTCTTTAATGTAGTCTCCCTTCCCAGAATAAAATAAAGGTAATGGTACATACACTAATATTAAATAAACAGTGCACAATATGTATTTGCTTTGAGAAAATTCTCAAAATTCTCTCCTTGTTATACAAGTCTTTTTCCTCTCTCAGGGAACAGATCTGGGGAGTTATGTGTGAACATTTGTGTGTAGATGTGAACAGTAGTGAATAGAAAATGCTCACAGTTAACTTACGTGAGGTGATAGGAGATGGTTTTTCCCATCCTCTCTGCCCCCATATAAAGGTGGGTAGAGTTCTGTCCAAAGGTTACAGATTTTGGCTTCTCCGTAGGGGCCGTGATCACAGCTGGGTGAACCATGCATGAGTCCTTTTAACATAATGACGAGGATTTATTGCATGCTGACTGTGTGTTGCTGGGCACTGTGCTAAGTGCGTCACTCAGTTTACTCATTTAACTTCTTCTGATGACTTTGTGGGGTAGGTACTCTAATCTTTATCCTTCTGAAGAGGAAATAGATTCAGAGACTCAAAGTAACTTGCTTTGGTCACACAGCGAGTCAGAATCAAGACCAGGACTTGATCCTGAGTCTCTCTGACTTCAAAACCCATCTGTGCTCTGAATCACTGAGGGATTCCAGACCACCAGCATCCTCCACCTGGAATACTCCCCTTATACAGTCTGTGCCAACACTGTTGCTGATAAGCGTGAAGAGCAAATGCTTATATAGACTTACTTCATCCAGACACCATTCTAAACACTGTATCAGGATTGACTTCTTTAATCCAGATGATGACTTTTTGAGCCAGGTAATAGGTTATCATCCCCATTTTATAGAGGAGGTCCTGGGAGGTGAATTTGCCCGGTATGACACAGTAAGGTCCCTGATTTCAGGTAGTGAGGTTTCAGAATCCATCCTCTTACCCAGTGCACCCTGCTATCTCTCTTGATGAATAAGTGCCATTTTCTTTCCAAAGGTGGCATCTGTCCGGGGCCTCAGTAGAGAAAGGTCTTTATTTTCCAGTAATGAAAGAAATCCCATTATCCATTAGTTCTACCCATAACTTTCAATAGAAAGCCCTTAATGGATTCAGGGCAGTTTTCTCCCTGGTGAGTGTTGTCAGAAACAGACTTTCTCCTGAAGCCCTCATTCAACAAAGTCTGTCTTTCATACTTCAGACACCTCTAGCTTAGCCTTTACTGCTGGGGTGAACTGCTGGGGGTGAAGTTCAGTCAAGGCACCTAAAGACCTTTCTCCCCATCCCTCCAGACCTAGGAGGAATGACTGCTTGTAGGGCCACTGTGATTGTGTTTGCTCACAGGCAATGTTCCAGGAGTGGTTGGACCCCATGCTCTCCTGAGGGGAGACAGTAGTAAAATTCACACTCACTAAGCACAAAAGCTTTCCCTGATTTCTGCCTAAAACAGGAAGCTAGCTGGGCCTTCTCTGCTCACGTTTTTTGAATCTTCTTCCATAAGGCCTTCTGCCTTTTCTGCTGGCTGACCTCAGTTGAGCCCCCGATCTCTGACTATACCCAGTTCATGGGTTGATTTTCACAGCTACTTGTGAAAAGGAGTTCTGTGCCCTGTGTTTG